AGCACACATTAACCTCCCCCCATATGCCAGGCTCAGTGCTGGAGATCCAGTGACGTGACAGGCACAGCTCCTGCTCTGGGGGAACCCTTCCTTCTAACTGGAGACACGCGGTTGAAACAAATAATCAGGATAATGAATTCATTGTGAAACATGAGGAGCTGCCGTATAGCACAGGGTTGAGGTTGGAGTACTGACTCCACCGATCAGCTATGTCACTTCTGGCAAATACCCTGATCTGTCTCAGTGGCCTCCTTTCCTACCTGTGAAATGGGCATGATAATGTCATAGGGTTGTCTTGGAGATCCCCTGAGATCATGCAAATAATTATTGGTCACGGCTACGAAGTAGAGAGAACTGTAAGAGCATCTAAGAGGGAGACTAGGCTTCTCAGAGAACCCCATCAAGCCCTTCCCCAATCCCAGAAGCTTCTCCCCCAAGGTGTGAGGTCACATGTTGGGCATCTGGGCCCAAGGACCGCTGCACCCCCAGGGCTGTCCCCCGTGTGCTCTCCATTCTGCTGTGGCAGCCATGGGCATCTGGGTAATCTCCTACACTTGCCCCTGGTAGGATTTGGTGCCCAAGGAAGGTACTGCCCTTGATCTCACTGGGAGAAGGCTAGGTCTTTACCATCATGGGCCAGTGCCCCTCCGAGACTGCTGCGTTTGATGAGATGGCTCATCAAATCCTATAATTAAGTATTACAAATCTGGGTGCCTGTATAAAATGAGTCAGAAAACCTTCCTTGTGCCACCAAACTGCAGAATGCTAGCTTCCACTGGCAGAGACCTCAGCCATTGGGACACTGTGGACCTTCTACTTGACCTGGGCAAAGAAGGAGGAAGGCAGATGGCAAGAGACTTAAGTGCCAGTAATGTTTCTGGTGCCTTAAAGTTCAGCTCAGTGGAGGAACCCTCAATGGCCAAGATAGGATCCCTGATCTAATCAGGTAAAGACCTGGAATTAGGCTTGAACATGGAAGGCAATTTCCAGGGTACCTAATCCAACCTCCCATTCAAAGCGTGAAGCTCCTCTCTAAGGAGCCTAGCCTTATCTTCTTGTTTGCAAGCAAATCACTTTCAACAGTGACTCAGAAACACAACAGTAAGGTGGCCAAGCAGTTATCTGGGAGGACAAAGCGGTGCTAAAACGTCACTGGAAATCAACACTCTTCATGGGGAGGAAAACACAGAAGAAAGCAATACCTTTAAAAAGGGCTGGCGGGTGGGGTGAAATCTTTCTTCCTTAGAGTAACAGAAGATGGTCACTCATGGCCTTTTTGAGGGTGGCAGCACTGGCTGAATCCAGGGCAAGGGGGGATGTTTCAGGACAAGAGGGGACATTGAAATGCCAGAGCAGCCCCCCTTCCCAGAAGGGCCTGGACTCAGTGCCCCGGTTAGACCCTGACCAGCTTAGACCTGTGGGCGTTACCTCACCTCCCTAGACCTGTTCACTTCTCTGTCCTGTAGCAGCACCCACCTCACACCTTTGGACCTGAGGAGACGTCACAACGCCCGAAAGGAACTGCTCACCCTACCATAGCCTCAGACCGGCAGCACCACTCCCCAGCCAGCCCTGGAGCAGTTTATTTCTCCTCCCATTCCCACGGTCAGCAGTTAAGTCTCCCAGTTCCTTGGTACGGTGTTTCCAGAGCCCAGTGGCCCCATCCAGCTCAGAGGCTCCTCACCTCATCCCCATGGTGCTTCGACAGCCTCCCACTGTGGTCTCCGTCACCTTTTCTCCAATTCACCCTGCCCCACGCCTCCATTCTCTCCCTCAGAATGGCTTTGTTCTCTGAACACTTCTGTTCTGTGTTCTGAAGCCCCCACAGCTCAGGATAAAGGGAATGGAGAGAGCATCTCTATGAGAGCCTGCAGTGAGCCAGTAACCATGGCAGGTCCTCATAAAGTACATGTTAACAACTTACTCGCCAGAGACGTATTAATGTCTTTTGCTAACGGAACGTTATTGACCAGTGTTTCAAAATTCACTCATTTAACAAATTGTCGATTAGTTTCTGCAAAAACCTCCCAGTCAGTGAAGTGTTATTAAGTCCATACCTGACTCCTCAGAGGACTGGCTCGTCTTTCCTCCTCTATTAAGCTCCCCAGACTACCGAATCCTGTGGTTACACCCTCCACCAAACTACTGAAGCACACTTGGCTGAGTATAAGCATGTGGTTGAGGCCATATTCTCACCAAGGCGTTCCACAATCCCCCCTGCCCGCTTCAGGTGTAAACACAAGATGTGCTGGGACCCCATTTCATCTTTGTGTCACTAGCACATAGATCAAAGTTGGGTACCTTCTAGCTGTTTGTTCAATGTGGATTTAAGGGCTTTCTTCCCATCCCTTAAGCCCCTCCTTTCTGCCGAGGCCAATCACCACATCCAAGTACAAAAGCCTCAGGAGGAAGGGATGCACCTCATTTTCCACTCAAGTCAAAGGAAACAGTGTGCTCTATGGTGACAGCCCCCAGGCTGCAGTCAAACCTCTTCTGACCTCTGACAGAAGAGCTGCCAGGAGAGGCTGGCCTGGCTCACCCTGGGGACAGGACAGCGTCCTCCGGCCCAGGGAGGCACGGATGCCATCCCCAGGAGCTCCTGGACCCCCACTCCTTTCCTCCAAGTTGTGCAGGTGTGCGTGTGCTCAGTTGCTCAGTCACGCCCAACTGAGACCCCAGGAGGACAGGTTCTTCTGTCCACGGGATTCTCCAGGCCGGAATACTGGAGTACGTTACCATTTCCTCCTCCAGGGGATCGAACCTGAGTCTCCTGCATTGGCAGGTGGATTCTTTACCACTGAGCCATCTGGAAAGCCCTCCTTCCAAGTCACAGGCAAAGAATTTGAGTGGCAATTATTTAACCTAATTCAGTCCTCTCTTTTTGTTTGAGAAAACTGAGGCCCAGGACAAGTACCTCTCCGAAGGCCAGAGGTAAAATAGAAAAGCCAGGGCTTCTGATTTTATGGGTAAGATGGACCTCCTTCAGTTCCATGACAATTGCTATCACAAGGTGGGAACTTTTGACGCTAAGTCAGGGCCACTACGGGGTTGGCTATAACCAACTGGGGGATCCCTCCTCAGGCGCACCTTAGACCCTTTTCTTCTTTTTTCCTGAGCTCTGTTCTGTTCCCCACATGTCCCACAGAAACAAAAACCTACTGCTCTCTGTAGGACATCTAGTATCAAAACTGATGAATTTCTACTTTCAGGCCATCTTTATATCCAAGCTACTCAGAACTGGTGCTTTAAGGGTTCCCATGGGTACCGTCTCACCCACGCAAACCTCTAATACCTACTATAGGACAGACCGAAGACAGACAACGGTGCATTTCTGCACACAAGCTTTACCTCGACGTATGTGTTTAGATACTGCCATCGTTATACTGAACTACACTTGATCTTTTTCCTGTTTGCCTTATACAGCCATGACTCTTTAAATTCAATCTTCTTTCTGAACCCCTACAATTCATCACCTTATAAAATTTTAAGTCAATTCAAGGCACTTAAAAGCTGCACAGTCATTTCCAACTCCATGTAAACTTATTAGCATCCTCACTAGCCTCTGGTTAAAAATGGTTATCATTTTTAGTGCTAAATATATACTAAATACAGTGCTCTACTATACACACACACACACACACACACACACTCCTTTAATCCTAACAACAAAGGAAGGTTGATAGGCTACTATTATCCTTATAAGTTTGATAAAACCCAAATCAAGAGCTGCAGAAGTATAAGCGTGGCAACATGCTGACCCCACTGCAGTATTAGCAGTCATCCTGGAAACTCTTTCACTGTAGGCGTGTAGCTTCCAAGAGCTTTTCTGCAGATAGTCTGAGAAGCAAATAATCATATGTAATTAAGGCTATTTCCCAAATAGCCTAGGAAAGCTGCCAAAGGCTTTCCCGGAATTCAGAAGCAAGCTGGTGAAAACTGTAAATACTGTAGCCTCTGGATGCAAGACAAAGCAACCACCAACCTTCACCACCCAAGTCAATGCTGCTCTAGAGAATAAGTTTCCCTCTATCACTTCACAGGGGGTGCTAGAGGGGTACAGAAAGTTTTACTAATCTTTTGATTCTTGAGAAATGGTACCTATGGCATGGAAGTGTTAGGATTCACCCCCAACCCCAGCCTGTAACATAAAGCAAATAAAAGCATCTAATATCTCTAACTAGGATCTTAAGGTTTCTCTAAACTGTTCTCTAGAAACACCGTTCGCATCTCTAAACTGTTCTCTAGAAACATCGTTTGCGCCTTCAGTCTGCTTTTTTAATGGGGACACAGAAAACAAAAACTGCTTGTTTGAAAATAAACATCTGAAAGACTATCATAACAGCTGATCTGGGCTGAGGCATCACAACAAAGTGACGATTGTGGAAGAAGACAATGCAAACAACTCTGGAGCAAGAAACTCCAGGGCAGAGGACTCGCAGTGATGTGTGTGCTGGGTGTTTCTACCAGCCTCAAGGTCCCATCTGGAACAAATATAAACTAGGAGAGTCTCTATCTCTGGACAACTTATTACCTGGGCAGAAAGAAGTCACTGCCACCAACAGCACTGTGCAGCTTTATTAACCATTCAAGTACAGTAGCGTCTGTAAGATCGGGACAGAATTGGGATTTAAAAGTGAACAGATAATCAGCATCTAACAATTTGAAAGAAGCCACTACATACTCTTTTCACAGACATGTTTTCACGGAGCCAATACAGTACTAGCCATTAACCCAGCACACCAGGTGTACTGAGGTAGAAAAGATGCAACAAGAAAAATAGCTACATTAGAAAGACTTCAACACTTTAGAAAAAGAGTAAAACACTTTTCGTTTCTCCCCTTTAGCCCCTAGAACAACATCATACCGTCTGGATCTACCTATACAGTCCTACATCAGCTTCTAGAATATTTGTCAGGAGGGCAAAAGTAAAATGACACTGGCCAGTACAGTCTTTGGATATTTAGGAAGGGGAGGGGGAGAAAGTCAGTTCTCAGATCAAATTAGTCAGCTTCAGTCTCATCAGCAGGGTCTTTGGATTCTTTGTTCTTCCGCACTTCTTCAATGTGCTTGTCCTGTAAAGACACAGTATATACCACCAGTCAAGTAAAAAAGTCTGCCAGGCCATGCCCCCAAGAGGCCCAAACCAGCATTAGTATGTACGTTATATGACATGTATAATAATATACTATTATTATATAAGTATATATCATGGGAATCACATAATTAAGAGTTATAAGTCATCATCTTCAAATTTCCTAGGTCACTCATTGAACCTAATGATTCAGCCTTCTGCTGCTCTTCCCAACAACATGCAATTGTGCTGCAAATTAGTGAATATTCCTTATTTTAAATTAAGACACCTCTGATTTAACTTGTTAACCACAAAATGGATGACAAAGATACCAAGCACGTGTGATCAAGGCAGAGTTCGAGCCATTTCACTGGTGCATCAACCCTCAGGCTCGTAAGCCTCTCAAAGCCAGGAGGAGACACCAACCTTCTCTCGCAAACGCTCCAGTTTGGCAGCCATTTGTGCCTCCCGGTTCTCTTTGTTGGCTTCCATCTTGTGGGTCAGCTTCTCTTCCGCCATTTTACTGAAGTTGTTGTTCTCCTCTATCGCTTTCTGAAGCACTTCTTTCTCGTGCTCCCGTTTCTCAGCAAGCTGCTTCAAGACCTCAGCTTCATGGGACTGGAAAAAAGTTTAATAGGCTAGGCTCTCTGAAATGTGATATAGCATTAGGTCAAATCACAGAAGAAAATTAATTGAGCAGACTGAAGATAGAAAGTTAGATCCCTTTAAATAATACTGAAGTCAGGACCTGAATTATTTGTATCAGAATACCGTAAAAATGATATTCTTTTTCTAGTGTTTGTATTTACTTTGGAAAACTGCCCATATTTGTTCAGAGATTCTTACCCAATTAGTCCTTAAGGAAATCTTTGTAAGATTTACCGCTTAATGGTATCAAGACGATTTGAGTGATATATACTTAGAAATGGTACTTTATTGTGAAGACTTGATTTTTTAACTTCAAAGGCTACCTAAAGAAAATGAGCTCATTGTAAAAAAATGTAACCATATTGATAAAAAGGAAATCCACAGAAATGTTAGAAATATTAAAACTAAGCCTCCAGATTACTATTTAAGCCAAAGATTTGTCTTAAGGAAAAGCTTATTAGCGTTTTTCTATGGACACTGCATTAACTTCCAGACCAATGGAGCTCTGTTACCATGGTGTACCTCCTTCTACAGACTCAGAATAGCTATTACCAGATTCCGATGTGTTTGGAAGCATCAACTTGCAGGAAAACTTCAGAGCATCTGCCATTGGTTCTGCTAATTCTCTTCTTCAAAATCCCAGTCATGGTAAGAGTTTCACTATATTTAGCCAGTAACTATGTAAAGCTCTGGCTAATGACTACAGGGACAGCATTGACTCCTTAAAAAAAAAAATTATCTGTCCTGCCTTCGGCTGCATCTCTTCCATGAACTCAAACTACATGAAATCCATCAACTGGGACTAAACAGCAGAGCAGGTAGGAGGTGAAACACCACTGCAAACATAGCCACTCTTCCCGAGGAGATAATTCCCTGCTGGCGGTGGGTCAGCGCACACACGGCACGCGTGGCTCTGAAATGTGCACAGCGCGTGCTGCAGCAGCTTCAAGGGGCCCCAAAGCGCAGGTACTCGGTTAAAGGTGCCAGACTTCAAAGCGCCAAACTGTGTTGGCTGCAGGCAGGTTACTACTTCACCTTTTTGTGCCTTCTTTTCCCTAATTTTAAAATTGAACCCACACATCCCAACAAAAAGTTGCTAGAAAAGGGACCTAAATGAGAATTTGTGTGTAATTCTTAACGACTAGAAGGTCAATGAAGAGAGAGATACACCACCATGTTACCAATAGTGATTTCTGCGAAGCAGGATATGAATTTTCTTATTTATAAGCTTCTGTGGTTCTGTTTTTCTATAACAAGCATATTAATATTTGCTGACTCTTCTGATTAGTTCTTTTTAAAGATACCTACTTTAAAACAGAAGTACTAGGTAAAAGCTACCATAATACCCGTATGACAGCTGAGCAACACAATCATGTCACTGCCATTTAAGATGTTTTCATTGTACTGCTCTCAAAAAACAAAACAAAATCTAAAAACCCACAGACTTACACACAACTTAAAAAACCAAACCCCAAAACCTTAAGAAACAAAAAAATGAATCGAAACAATTTATTTTCCAAAGAGAAAGCATGAAAAGCATGAATTTTGGTTTCAGACAGAACTGGCCTTAAACTCTAGCCCCAGTACTCACTAACTGTATGATTCAGGAAAATGAGTCAACGTTCCTGAGAACATTTTCTAATCCAGTGTCTCAGACAACACCTACCCTGTAGGGTCAAGGTAGAAAAGGAGAACTATGTAAGTGCAGGAGATGGTACACAATAGGAGCTCAATAAATGACAGCTGGTATTCTCTCCCCGCCACTGGCACTGTAATTTTCATAGTTATAGTCACCATCTAGCTACAATTCTGTTTTCCTCCTCTTCTAAAACAGATTTGCCATGTTACATTAATAAATATCTGCTTTTCTGTTAAATTGGCGTTTACCTTGCGTCTTTCTTCTGCAGCTTCTAATTTCTTCTGAATTTCCTCCAGGGAAAGATCCTTCTTCTTAGGAGGGGAAAGGGGAAATTCTGGGACAGATTCTTTTGATCGAGGGCTGAGAATCAGCTCAAAAGCCTGGCCTGAGGCACGCTTCTCCAGTTCCTTCACCTGGATATCTGGATTTGATCATATTTATAATATATTCAGAAAAATGGAGTTTTTCCTATTCTAATGAACTGTTCTATCGTTTTCTAAAAACCAAATCAATTTAATGAATAGAATTAGGGCTGGTGAAGCAGCTGTGTTTACAGGCAAGAAATTATTATCTAAATACCATGTCCCAGAAAAGCAAAGCTCAACATTTTTGGATTGATAAATACCATTCTGAGACATCAGTATTTGACAATCATTTCCCCGAACAGAACAAAAACATGCAAAACTCCACATTTTCCTTTAGACCAAACCAAATCGTCTAATAATGAAATAATTAACTGTACTCTCAGTACATTCAAGTGGTAATTTTTCTTCTTTAATTACTCTTCAATTTATAAGATAAGATTTTTTTTCTTTGTAAGACCAAACACATGTGTCAAATTAAGATGGCTTAAGACCTGAGCCATCTCCTAGTCTAAAATTAGAAGCCCATCACAATCTCAGCTTTTCCAAATAGATCACCTACCAGAAGAAGCCATGGTGAAGAGAAGACAAGAGACTGGCAGTGTACTCTACACGATTCACTGGCAAGGAAAACCCTGAAAACGATTTTCAAAAGCATGCAATCAATTTCTTTGCATTTCCATGTCATTGGTTCAAAGGGACCTCAAATCACATCCATATAAATCAATGTCAAAAAACCCCACTATTGTGGAATTAAATATGACATCATTTGTCAGAAAATTATTTAAAAATCTATAAAATACTCCAACACTGGGAAATCTGAATTGAATAGAATGTTGGTTGTACAAGATGAGGTTAACTGAGCGTGCCCGTTCAAAACATACTTTTTAAAACGAGACAGGGATTTAAATCACGAGGTCCCTGCCCCTCAGTATATTCTACCCCTGGTGAGAAGATAGTGCAGATTCAACGCCTAGTGAGAGCGGAGCCATCTTAACACTGCGACCACTCATTGTGCAAACGAGAAATACCCACCCCTGCTTTGTCTGTGTCTGCCGTGTGGAAAACAAAACGCCCAAACTAGTACTAACCAATAATGTCGCACTTCCATTGTTCCTGCGGTTTAAGGTCCTCATTCAACAGCGGGTTAACATGAATTATCAACAATTTTATGAAGCTTTAGGTCTTAGTTTACACCTATTTGCTGCCTTGTACAGAATTTTTCCACGGAAAAAAACCTCTACATCACTTGATCTTTTCAAAGGTCATGACTCCTGCAGACCCAAGTCTAGTGTCAAACACGTAGGAATACAAGTTCTCAACAGCGGGAACTTAAAATCCGAGGCAGGGAAACCGTCTAAGCCCGTCGGACGAGCATGAGACTCCCAGCACCAGACCCAGCATGGGCGTGGCCCTGGTCCGGGCGAGGAATAGCGGCAGGCCTCCCCCCGGCCAATCAGAGCCCGCCCTGCACTCCGGCCCCGGGCCCCGCCCCTTCCTCCCCGCGCCTTTTCGAATCTCCCCGAACTCTCAACACCCCGGAGCCCGCGCGCGTGGGAAGGGGAGGGGTGGGCGGGGCTAACGGTCCCATCCGGGTAACTCCGCCCACCCCGGGCTCTCCCCGCGCGCACTAGCCCCCCATCAACTCCCGCCAAAAACACCTTGAGGCGGGCCCCCGTCCCCCGCCCCGCCGCAGCTGGCCGGGAGGTGCCAATACTCGGGAGGAAACCGTGGGATACCCGCCATCAGCTCGCCACCTCTTTCCTTTGCTCCCAATCTTCCGCCACCCAAAGCCGTCCGCGCCCCCGGGCCGAACAGCTCTCGTAGGAGTATTAGCCTTCCGTGGGCAGCCTCACGAACCCTGGGCGGGGGCGCTGCCCATTCCCGCCCCGCAGTCTGGCCCTCAGGTCGCTCCCTGGGGGCGCCGCCCCGCCCCTTCAAACAATGGGGACCCCGGCGGGGGCCGCGCCTGCAGGGGGGCGGGGGAGGGTGGGCCTACGCCCCCTATTGTCTTCTCGAAGACATCTCGGGGCTACCTCGTCGGGTTCGCCCAGCTGGCCGCACCCCCTCCCCACCACAGCCGCGCCCCCAGGGAGCCAGGGACAAAGCCGAGGCTCCGCCCGAGCCACACACAAAGCGGAGCGACCCCCACCCCGCCCTCCAGCCCCTTCACGGCCCGCGGCCCCGCCCGCCGGCCTCCAGCAGGGGGTCGCTGCCCCAGGGCCGGCCCCTCCCGCTGGCCGCGTCCCTCTCGCTGCCCCCGGCCGGCCGCCACCGCCTCCTCCCGAGAGTCCCACACCCACCTGCTTAGTCCGAGCCGCCTGGCCACACTCTGAGCACCAACAGACCCGGGCGCGCACAAAAGCGCCAAACAGCGGCACGTGACCTCCCCGCCGGGCTCCGCATTGGCTGGGAGCGGCGGCACGTGCCGACCCCTCCCCACCCCCTCCACCGCCCAAGTGGACCCCGCCCCTGGGGACCCCGGAGCACCTCGGGAAGTGTAGTTCAGGCTGGTGGGACAGGCGGACAATGCCAGGGGTGAGGGCTGCTTTGGGGCGGGGATGTCTCCAGGTGTGAGCCGGGGGGGCCGGGATGGTCATCTGGCCGGGGAAGGGGGTGATGCAGTGAGCTCCCGCCTGGGTTTGAACCAGTTCTCCCCTTCTTAGAAAAAGGGCGGGGCAAGGTCCCTTTCCACGTCTCAAGACAGTGGCCCCGCTGGACTCCACCTCTGTGGAGCCCCTTGCCCAACATAACACCCAAAGCACAGCCCTTCTTTGGGACAGCGCATTGCCCTTCCGGGGGCCCCTCGGTGCAGTCACCTAAGATGACCAAGCCCTTGTGACGGGACAATGCCACTCGACGCCTCCACCTGTCACCTGTATTGTGACATCATCATAATCTAACCTACTCAGCCCCAACAGGGCACGGGCGTGGCCCTTAACTCACTGTGTGCGTTCTTGCTACCCTCTAAGGGTCCCCGAGCTGGTGACCCTCTATAGAGACCTGTGGTGGAAAAGCAAAAGGCTCTGGAATTTGATCTCCTCTGGTCTAACAAAGTCACTCGGCTTAAATGCAGACTCCATCTGTTCTGCCAAGCCTTTTACCGGACGATAGGGAAGGAAGCTCAATTGCAGTTCTAGACTACACAGACTGCAGTTAAGTGTTGCTTTTGTTCTTGAAGCACGTGCTCCCGCATCAGTGCTGGGTCCTTATAAAGAATCAAAACAAAAGAAGCCACAAGGTCACGGTTCCCCCTGCCCTGGATAGATCAGATGCACAGCAGAAACACAAAAGAAATTTGCTCTGACCCTGGCTATCTTAGAACGGCTGGCCTCATTCTTAAAACACAGAAAGGCCAGAGGAAAAATAAATCAAATGAACATGGTTCCCCCAACCAAGGCTCTGTCCTTGGGGCTGGTCATTACACCAAAGCAGCTGCCTTGAGATCCTGACAAGGCAGAAGGACATCCTCATTTTACTGCTCGATGGGCTCCACCTCCCCCAACCAAGAAACAAACATGACCTACTTTGATGGAGCAGGAGTCCTAATTTAAAGCTATTTACTATGGATATGCAAGAGTTAAATACAATTCATAGGTGCTTGAGACAAGGAAAACTGGATTATACAGGCAGCAGACACACCACACAAAGCAAACAATTAGCAATGCACTGTTGCCTGAAATATGCTTGTTGCAGCATTTTCTCCAACAATTGCCCTTGTGTGGGGTCGGCCTCTCCCCCGCCCCCAATCTAAGTGGTTTTCCCTTAGCATGTGAGCAGGACCAGCAATAATTCAGATTCTCAGAGCCCTGAGAACCTTCTCCTTCTCAGACCAAACTTAGCCACCAAACAACCGGCTGTTTCCATCTGTCAGTTTTCTGAGCAAAACCTCAGAAATCGTCAGGAAGACTGGAGGGGAGTTGGGATAAGACCTCATTGAAAAGTGATAGATTAACAGGCAACACACACGAGCAAGAAACCCAAGGCTGAGAAGTCTGTTATACCCTGAACCACGCTTTATCTACAAGTCTTTGTACTTGATCTGGAGGTTTGCAGAGGAAGGTCCCACCTATTTGATGCTTTTTAAAAAAAAAAATAAGAAATTGCCACAAAAATCTCACCTTTCTGACTATTAATGTTGTGACAGAAAAAAATAAATCTTTCAAAACACTGATTATTTTAAAGCACTTATACCGTCCCGTCCCCCCCCCTCCACCTTTTCTTTCTCCCTAGAGCAGATGTCTATTTCCATGGAAACCATGGCTAGGAACGAAGATGTTAGAACTCATGTAGATTTTTCATCTTTTTTAACGATGCCACTTGGCTTCTGGGTTTGTTGTTAGATGCCTGGTCCTGACAGTCTCTGTGATGAGGATTTCCTGAGATCCCCACTGCTCCTTGAGGACTGAGGAGACTGGAGTCGGGTTTCCCCCAAGAATGATCCTATGAATAAGAAAGGGTTTGGTGGGGCTTTAGGGTGGGGCTGCCTTTCTGAGAGCTAGACCACAGCTACGTATTGTCAGTTCTTCTGAGTGTTCATGAATGAGCTTTGGAATCGGAAGGGCTTTCAACTGTGAGAAAGAAAACAGCTTTGCCATCTCACTTTGGAAAGGGGCAGAAGCTCCCTTCTTGGAACATTCCAAGAACTAACTTCAAAACCCGCTCCCTCCTGAAGTGACAGCAAGGAGTTAACATTCGCATCTTGGGATTATCTGTCTTTGCCGATGAGAATTATTTTTGCCTCTGCTCAGATGGTTTGGTCGAATTGCTGGGGAGCTGGCTGTGACTATGGAGTAACACAAAGTGAAGTTGAGATATGGCAGCCATCCAGCTTATTTGCTCTGTGTAGACAGCTAAAGGAGAGCCCTTCAGGCTTCAAAGTCCAAAAGGATGTCTGCGCTGATCAAAGAAGTCGGGCTGTTGTCAGATCTGCTCTGTTCTTACAGAGCACCGGCTGCCTTTGTTCATTGTTGGTTCTGAGGCTGCAGGGTTTTCTCCCACAGAGGCGCCACTGAGTTCCACTGCTGTTTATAAGGCCTGTCCTTGGCCGAAGGTGTCGTGGGAGAGGTTTCCTCCTTGTCCCCAGCTCGCTGTTCCCTTTGTCCCCTAATCCTTAGGCATCATGCTCTAACACTCCCTTCCCTGTTCAAAACCTCTCTGTGAATCTGCTTTTTCACTTGCTTGTCTCCCTCACTAGACAACTAAGCCTAAGAAGGCAGGAGTTGTGTCTCTGTCTCTGGTATCCATCGTGCCTGCCCAGAACAGAGCCTGGCCTGGAGGGTGGGGCCTGGATGGTTGCAGGTGACTTTAGGCAAGAACCACCTCACTCATCCTCAGCTTCCACTTCTGTGATGCTCGACACCTGCACCAGCAAAGGTGGTGAGGATTGAGTGAGATAATGTATGTGGAAGGGCTTAGCACTATGCCTGGCCCCTCTCAGTGCTAAGACTTGTTAACCATTATTGCTAGAGAAGTTTCTTGATTGCTATAGGTTACTGAATAAATGAATTAATGATGACTAGTAGACTTTCTCCTTTGGGTGGAAATCATAGTCTCTGGGTTAACTCTTTCCCAT